AAAGAAAAGAAGAAACTAGAGTAAAAAGAAAAACAGGTTTTGCACGCTGGGTATGTTTGTGTAGTATGCAAGCAATTTTTAAAAATAAAATTAATGGCAGCAGCTGCCACAAATAATTTCATTCAAAATGTATTCCTGAACATTACAAAAACCACATGCCAGATGAATTAGATATTCTTTTGTTTTTGTGTCATTTTTACTATAAAGTAGATGATTCTTATTCTGCTAAAGACACTGATTCTGATTGTTTAGAAATGTATACTAACGTACAGAAAGCTATAAAAGATCTCAAATAATAAATAAGGTCTTTAAAACTTGAGACATTGTTTTGCTTTAACGATTAATGTTAGTCAACATTCCTAAACAATAAGAATTAATGTTTATATGGTATATTTTTAACTAGATTTAGTAACTATAGCAGTTAATGCTATGTGGGCAATAACTATGTGATGCGTGAGGCAATGACTATCTGGTCCGGGCAATCACTATACTTTTAGAGGTTATTTTTGTTAAAGCTTGTAATTATTAGTTTTCTTAAGATATTTAAATTGTTACTACTGGATCTCTTAGCTAAACTATTAATGTTACCAAAGAGGTGACACTCACTTACCTATTATTTTAATTAACATTTATATACATATAAAACCAGTATAATTTCCTTAAATGGGCAATCACTATACTGTTTACCCTACCTACATGAAAAAAAAATTAGCAACAAATAAATATATATAAATAAAAATTATCATATCATGAAATAAGTGAAAGCTTATCCAACTAATATGATAGTGTTCTAATTTCCTGTAGAAGAAACTTAAACAAGCTTGTGCGTAATTGTGGATAGAAAATCGCATGACAGCTAATCACTTCACATCGATATAAAACTGAATTATCGTGTCGGAAATCACACGAAATATCATTATAGCAAATTACACATTAGGCCAGTAATGACCTTCCAGACGTAGAATTCATTCATTTATTTAAGGATAACCAACCTTTACCAACATACAATACAATATGAGTATTACAATTTAAAAAGTTCTTGTTTTTTTTTATAATACTAGGAATGGCAAATAACCCGACGCTGCACCATGTTAAGTGATAACAGTCACATATAAACATAAACAACATTACGAATGTCAATCAACGCATGATGAATTTATTCACTTGGCTAGGATATAGAGGCGTAATATTTCAGTTCTCCAGAATGCAACGCATGCGTTTATTACATAATGATTTTCATCTAATAAACGCTATTACATGAAAATCATCATGTAAACACCAAGTGAATAAATTCATTGTGTCAGTACCCGTAAAACAAGTAACTTTCACCCACCACGGATCAACCACCACGTGACGACCTCGGTGGTCTAGCGGTTTAGTACACCGCCTTACTTCCGATGGTCGTGTATTCGATTCCTTGCACTGCACAAATATTTGTATTCATAAGTATTATTGTCTCTATAGATCTAGGTATTTTCTATATATAATAACTACATATTTACGAAAAAAAAATCTATGTATTTGTATCAGTTATGTAGTATTCACAACACAATCTTTAATTAGCTTAACTTCTAGATGACGTTGGTTGAATTGTCCTGAGATTATTATTATTATTATTATTATTAATTACTCGTGATATCTAAGTCATAACCAAGTTATACGTGTTTTACAGGTTTTACGAAGAAATATTAAAACAAATATAATACTATTTTATTTTTCTGCTATGAACGTAATATTTTTAATAAGTCACAATAAAATTGCAGATTTCTGTATATACTTATGTATTTTATAGCCTACTAGCTGTGGCCGTGACTTCTTCCGCGTGTAATAGTGACCAAATATAGAAAAAATATTTAATAATCTAACCCAAAAAAAGGCGAAGAAAAAAGATTCATCTTTATAGCTACAAAAATTATTATTTTCTATACAAACTTTCATTCCCTATTCCATTTCTTTTTATTCATTCATTCCCCTTAAGCGTAATAATTTTACAAACTTAGTCATATTTATTTATATTTAATGAACAGCCTAAAAAATAAGTTACAAGATTCAAGTTCTAAAAAATGACGATACTTCCATGGAACCCTTCATCTCCCCTTTCAACCCCTTATAACCCTTTATTCGTATTAAAAAGTAACCTATATCCTTTCTCAGGGTCTAGATCATCTGTGTACCAAATTTCATTTAAATCGGATCAGTAGTTTTGGCGTGAAAGCACAGACAGACAGACAGACAGAGTTACTTTCGCATTTATAATATAAGTAAGGATTTGCTGTATATAGTTTAGAGAATCATGTTAGTAGACCATTCGGACTCGGGTCTTATTAATGTGAAAAAAGTAAAAGCTAAGAATAATATTTGTTACTGGTTGTATAATTACACTAATAATATATTTAAATTCAGTATAGTAATGCATGTATAAAATTGTACAGCAATAACTGCAATGCTCACGACGCATTCATTGACGCGTGATGGTATGAGACATGCTCCAATTTTCTCTTCAAATTAGTCTGCACATGCTAGTAGGTTTAATCATTATATGTCATGCAATTATTTTATATCATAAATAGTAAAAAAAATCTTATGATATACGTATCCTTTATTACATTTTTAAATACAAGATTTCAAATACATATTAGAACTTTTGTTAGCAGAGGAGGACTTCTCACTAAAAAAAATCTCTTCCAGTCAATATTAAACAGCGTGATATAGTGATGTGTGGGTCATAGAAGTGCAAATAATAAAAGTAAAATAAATAAAACTAAAACTAAAGAATGAAATAATAACAAAAGATTTTTTTTTATTTTCCTTATTGTAACTTTTGTTAAAAACTTTGCCCATACGAATTTAGGACCACCATAGAAGTCATATCGTAAAAATAAAATAATCATCAAAATCGATTCTGAATTGACACATACAATTTTTATGGCTGTAGAAAAATCCTTTAGAATATATTCAAGCTAGAGAAGAAATGAACTATAATTGCTGGTTTAATAATAGATGTTCTAACTATTCTCACACCTGCAATTAAAGGTCAAAGATTTTTAATAAAATTGCTTACATATTTTTCTATTTTAATTTTAATGGTGTGTCTAAGGCTACAAGTTTTTTGTATCATTTGTATGCACTTATGGCAATAAAAATGGTCTATTTTTACTATAATAATAATAATAATATCAGGACAATTCACACAGTGCAATCTAGACACAAGTTAAGCTAGCTAAAGCTTGTGTTATGGGTACTAGATAATTGATTCATATACATAGATTTATTTTTATTCGTACATACATACATATTATACATAGAAAACACCCAGGCCGATACAAACAATCATACTCATGAATACAAATGTTTGTGCCGTGCGAGGAATCGAACCCGCGATCATCGGAAGTCCACCGAGGTCGTCACCACTATTGTGTCATTTCTGTCACTTAATAGAATTTCTATGATTTTCATGAGTCTTTTCAAAAGCTTTTTTTTATTATTTAACACTGCATATATGATATTTTATACAACGATGTATGTCTTCTTCGATTTGCAACTATAGAGCACTACCTTACTATAATGAATCATATCCCCTGCCCTTTGTCCCATCATAATAAACTAAATATCTGAATAGTGCGAAAGATTGCACTAAACAACGTCGCAAAAATTTGATAAAGGTTGTATATGTAGGTTGATTCGAGAGAAGCAGAGTACTGCTATATATCAGATAAAACAACAGATATCAGATACATAGACTACTATCTAGACAACATTTTAAATAATTATATTTAGAAAAAAATATTAATGAACATAAATTTTCGCGTCAAGAATTATTCTTGACGCGAAAATTTATGTTCATTAATATTTTTTTCTACAATAAATAACTGGCCATTCCACATAGCTTGCTCTATTTGAATCTGTTATTGTCAGTTTAAATAGTCATATGAACTTCCGAAATTTTTTTGTAACCGCTAGTTATTTAAATCTTCACACTGCATTATTACAAAATTGCATAACATTACACATACTTGTATAATACTATGTTCATTTATTAACTTATGGTCAATGAACCAGGTTGTTAGTAAAAGATAGTATTAGATAATTGATATTTGTTTGTATATATGTTAACATTTAAATGTACAACTTAAAGATGGGGTAATATAATAAAATAATTGCAGTTTGCTGTTATATGGTTTAGGAAAAATCTTGATAAATATGTGGCATCATGTTAATTAGTTTCTGTAGTCTTTCTAATTTAGGATGACGGCGTTTAATAAAAGCAAGATTTTTAACTTCACGAATATTTTTATTAACTTCAACCATGGCCGTACTTGTCACATGTGTCTGGTCCCCAAATGAAACAAAATAAGCTGATTGATAAAAATATTTATGATCTTTGAATATATCCCTTTCTACTTCATAATTAGAATATATTTCATCATAATTAATTATAATTGAGCTATGATTATTGTTATACAATAACAGTGACATATTTAGTTACTTAATATTTTTGTAAATAAATATTTATGTTAAAGGTACTCGCGTAACCACCTTATTATTGATAATTAAAAAAGATAACAGTTACAATATGAAAAATTAACATTCATCTACTTAATCTAACAAAAGCACCCTTATATATAAATAAATAAATAATTTATAAACTAGTCTTAACACTATTTTTTACAAAATTGGACAATTGAACGATTTGAGAAAGAAATGCACATACCCGTCGACTAGCCTAAATCTTAAAAAATAATCATTACACAAGTTATATAATACCATTATCATGTTATATACTATCATTCATTCCCACTATTGACTATCCCAATATAATATTTGGTGCAAGCGATTACACATGTTTTTAAGCTATCTCCATTAATATTAATGCTATAACCAAAGATATATCATTCTTATTTACAAAATTAAATATAATAAATAAATTTAATTTATTACAATATTAATATATCTTTATATATATATATATATATATATGATTACGTATTTGTATACTGCATCATAAATTAGTCTACTAGCATTAATATATTTTTCTAAATCGATTTCAAGCATTACAATATCTAATATAAATAATCTTTGTTTCCTATTTGCATTAGCAAAAGGGCCAAAATACATCCGTTCGTGCTACGTATTATAATGCCCATTTTATCGTCGTTGTCTTTTGTTAAGAGTCGTAAGTCATTTTCTTAAAACATCTTATTTCTACTGCTTTTTGGCATAGGCCCGATAAGCTCTATCCTGGGCTGCAGCCTCATCTTCAACACTTCTTCTGTAGTGACCTCCTGGACCAGTGGCATCGAAGTCGCTTCCATAATGGGACGAGGAATATGTGTGACTCTGGGAAACTTGAGGATGTTTTACGATCTCATAGGTTGTCTTCTCGTGGGATTCACCGCCTGATACCAGCTTCTTTAGTCCGATAATCGCCGAAAGCAATAATGCGATCTTGCCAATAAGTAGAGCTTTTCCAGCAATAAGGGCAATCGCCTGGAAGGCTATTGCGAGGAAACCGCCTTTAATGGCAACTCCAGCAATAATCGGCCCAATCAACTTCTTCAGTTTACCTCTCGCTTCATTTATCGATCTTCCTACATCATCTCCTACTGAACCTGGTGATATTACAACTCGATGAGTTTGCAGTAACTTTGTAGTAGCAAGGTTGAGGTATTTGTCAATTTGATCCGAAGGTAATGAATTCAAGTCGCCTTCTGGTAGAGATGAGGGGAATGCTCTCCCTGAATCTGACCTTTTGACTAACGATACACCATCCACAAGTGGAAGTGTTTCCATACGGGCTGCCCTATCAGCGAATTTCGCGGCATGGACCTTGAAGCACTTAATAATTTCCTGGGAGTGTTCGCAGTTCTTGTACACTTTCCCTAAAAGCTTTAGCCCATCTCCAAAAGATCCGGCGGAAGCGACGGCAATCACACTCAAACACAACAGGACAAAACTTCCGCGGCACTGCATTTTGATCGGAAACCGCGTCAGTCCAGTCCCAACACTGGACCAATGTCCAGTTCAAGCGGTTGCGTCTATTGAAATGTGCAGAAAATACTTGAGCACTGGCATTTATCTATTTTCACCGGGAACTGCATTTATCTATAAATCTTTTAGAGCGTGCAATCGTTGCATCGTATGGCCGTGCACTGAGGCGTGCATGTGCATGCTACCAGTGGTTGTTGTGTGGGTGCACTTGGCCATGTATTGGTGGTCGCGGTCGCTCTTATGACGCAGCGGATAGTTTGGTCAATGTTAAGGGCAATGAGGGTATTTCAGGTTTTATAAGTATTGACCAGCTTTATTGGTAATTTGCATGTAAACTAAGAAACTAATCTACATTTAATGGACGCCGCACTACAGCTATCGCGTTATGTAACGTACGTGTTACTACCTTTACCAAAATTGCCATACTAGAAGATTAAGATGTAATCGCTCCTATCCTGGAATTTTATATTCATTGTATCTATGCTTCGCAAATATTCTTCCCTATAACTTCACTGACTTTTTTCACCTATCAATCAAAACTTATCATAGAAAACAAGGCTGGCAGACCCACGCAGATGATTTTGTTTACAGTCTACATTCGCTGAGATATCTCAACAACGGCTCTACGTCTGGTCTAGGTAAAAAAATAAATAAACAATACATATGGTTATGACTGTTATCCCAGACAGAGTAGTCAGAGGCCTTTTTAACTGTTTACATCATCGTGAACATAACATAAGACATTCTCAAATCTCGTTTGGTATATATTTAATCCAATTTAGAACAGGAAGATATCATTGCCGTGTCGAATTCATTTTTGGTTTAATATCGATGTTTCTTTCACTAAAGTGTTGTAAATTACACATATGTTTTTTTTTGTATCTGCCAAATTTTAATCATGACCTCATGAGCCTAATTCTCATGCATACGAATTAGCTCTACTAAAAAATAAAAAGCATAATTGATAACTTAGGTCTTTTTTTGTAATATCTTTATTTAACAACTTCGGATCACAATTGTGAGCACGTTAGCTCCGTCTTAGCTTCTAAATTAATTACATATTGATTTAAAATTTATTGTATTAATTTGCTAATAAAGGCTATAACAGAATAGCAAAGTGTGTGGATTCACCCTGAGTTATAGACCATTTTGTGTCGATTATTACATCAAAATTTAAAACAGCAATTGTAATGTGTTTATTATTTGACACATATAAAGATGACTGTTATTATAAATTTTTATCCACAAACTTATGTCAAACTTGTATTTTGTCTGAAACCAGAATATTGCCTGCAACATTAGCTGGATACGTAATTTAGTCTCTGCTGCCATTGATCGCCTACTGTAAATGATATTACAACCTGCATCCGTTTCAAAATTAAGAGAACTCAGTTCATTTTGAACTACAGTTAACTGAATAGATATAGTAAATTGAAACATACTAAAGAAATTTGTGACGAAAAGTAAACTTCTTACTGTGTCTAAATGAGATTTGTAGTTTGGTTCTAATCAGGTACCGAAGTAAGTACTGTAGGTAAATGCTATGAGTTATTGAAAATGATTTATTACTTTCGACTTCATCAAAACAAATATACACATTTACATTTGTATAAACGTCATACAGTCTTATGTACAATATTGTAGTTATCATTTAATACTTTTGTATTACAACCCGTAAACTACTGTGATATGTTCTTGTTTGTTGGAACAGAATGTATAGATGAGATTTTAGACGGCCTCGGTGGTCCAGCGATATACTACATCGTTTTACTTTCGATGGTCGCAATTTCGATCCCTTGCACGATCCAATCATTTGTATTCATGAGTATAATTGTTTGTATAGGTATTGTTCTGGAAGTTTTCTATGTATATTATGTATGTATTTACAAAAATAAGGATCGAAATATTTATATATTGCATATCAGTTATCTAATACCTATTATATAACACAAGCCTAGTTTAGCTTGCAGCTAGGTGACGCTGTTTGAATTGTCCTGGGTTATTATTATTATCACAATATACTGAGAAGACATCCTACTCTTGCCAGCGTGACCTATCAGGCTGAGCTGCTCAGCTCAAGCTGAATTACAGCAATAATAAACAATGTTCGTACTTTAAAGCTTGCTCGATTATTGCATTTAAACAGTAATGTAACATAATCTTTATATGGTTATATAAAAACTATCATTTATAAAATTAACTTTCTTAGGCAGAGAGGTCATAGTATCAAAACCCTTGATGAAATTCACAAGAACTATTTTTATGCTGATATTTTAGGTATACTACAGTAAAAATATGGGATTACATTTACCTGTCCGTTCATTCAACACTGATTTTATCTTTACAAACACTATTTTTACACAATTGTATCAAAAGATTGGTGTAAAAGCAATTTCTCTTTTTGTAACATTGTAATCTTCTAAGTTTTCGAGAAATATGTACTTCGTTTTGTCTTTTCCATTCCGATATTTCTTTTTAAGATAGTCCACCTGATGATAAATAGTAATCGCCGCTTATGAATATTTTATTAAGAGCATTACGACCATCACGTCATCATTTGTTGGCCCATAGTAGACCTCATGCTTTACCATTCTGGAGGTCCAAGATGTTATGTCTCCTTTATTACAGAGTGTAATTCCACAATCATATCTCACAAATCAACTGAAACATGGCTTTAAAGAAACTGCTTTGCGGCTGTATGAAATGAGTGAATGAAAATGTAGGATAGATATAACTTAGCTATGCAGAGGAGTAGCAATATAGTCATATACGTACGTTTCTTTACTTTTAGATTCTCTCCATTTAACAAGTAATAATATTTTTATTACGTATTATTTTATTCATGTACGTGTTTTATTAATTGAATTAAAAAGTAAAAATGAATAAAAATAATATAGATGCTTGTAGAGACGTTTATTATTGTTTATTAGATCGCAGTGACAGAAGTGATATAAAACAAAATGTATAAAGAGAACTCTCATATTTTAAATATGGATAAACGAATTTAAAAACTGCCAGTGACTCTCATTGTAGGTCTAACAGAATTAATGAATATACTAATTACTGTAATAAAATAAACATTGTATATTTGGAGAAAATCCAGTATTAAGACGAATACAACAGAAATATTAACGATCTCATTCTAATTAATTTTTATCCGTAGTTCAACTTTATTATTATATTTGGACAGCTCCATCTGTCAATATTCATATGAAATAATTCCACAACGATTTCCTATCCACGACGGTCAGTCAAAAAGTTTAAAGAAACCAAAGTTATATAATTTTATTGACAATCTTGTAATTGCAAGCTGCAACGGCTGACTGAATATTATTATTTTTTATAGTAAACACTTTATTAATTATATATCTATATTACTATATTGTTATATATTCACAATTCAGCGCCATCTATGATTATGATTTATAACTAGCAAGAACGCTACACTATGATCTACAATACTTTTTACAATCACAAAGCACACAAAAATGTACAAATTACAAGTCATGCTGCTTTGACAGAATACAATGCAAATAGTACGATCGATCCTGTCTCATTCAAACGGGGATCGATATCAAGATAGCCTAAACCGAGGTTCGAACCTCCTAGCCGAGGCCTCAGACTGAAATCCTAACCATCAGGCAGGAGTTAGTCTACAGCTGCTCAATAAGTCCTACCGTGGGATTGGAGTGCCTCCTGCACTATTTCGTTGGGTGAAGTTGAAAAGGTTACGGTCATCATTGTATTAGATTATACTTCGAAAATAATAAAGCAAAAAAACGTTCTATTAAATCAATTTATGATTATTCGTAAAGCACCATAAAACTATGAAATAACTATTTCATGTTTTAGGTAGGCTGAATAAAAAGTATTCTAGTATGCCAAAATTATTGTACTAATTTATACTATTTGGTACTTATCATCTAGCAATAGAAAAGATGCATGTATTTTTTATTCGGTAATTTACATTAGTAAATAACACAAAATATATAAAATATAATATAAAAATGTGATTTCAAATATTTTTGGCCAATTATTTGATTACGCCTTCACAAAACCGCTTTCGGTATGATATTATAACGTAATATTAACGTGCAAACTATTTCCAAATTATAGCAATATGACAGCTTACAAAAATTAAAGACATTATATGAAGAAATTAGAATAATAAAAAAAAATCCTCTTTAAAATTGTAAAATTTTAAGGCTACTAATTAAAACAGGATTACCTACGGCATGTTATTGAAAATATCAAATCAAATCACACGAATAAGGATGCGTGAATATTGCCATTTTTTTATATATTTTTATAAATTACAATTAATAATAAAATTATTCAGACTCCATGGATAAAGACGATAGTGTTGCCATGTCTTCCAATTTAATTGTATAATAAACTGAGCGAATAATAAAAAAAATACTGCGAATGGAAAACGCGATGTGAATTATTTATACGTTTCCTTGGGACATTTTATATTTTATTGTCGCGTGCAAATGTATAGCGACTACTCCACTTGGAAAACAGCGTTCAATCACCGACTCTCCACGAAAACAATAATTATTCGTAATTAATCATAAGGATATATCGTAGTATACTTTAATTAGGTATCATACTTAATTACCGATCACTTATACCTAGTGATATTTTCTACAGCCGGGAAATTTGTGTATTATTGTTAAGTATCATGCATTGGTAATATTAACAATTTTTTCGTTTAATTTTCCTTTATAGTAATAGCATAGGTATTAATATGCCATATTTTTTATACTGCTATGGTGCCAAACAAGCATACAGCCCATCTGATCGTAACGATTAGATATATATATAATGACCGTAGCCTATAGACACCTAACACCAGGGGTCACATACCTATTGCCGACTATATTTAGTAAGAGAATGCGTCGCAAATATTAGCGGAAGTGATCTAAATTCTTCTTTGCAATTTCGAATCTTTTCAAAATATTATACTTAACATTATATATATATATATATCTTGTAGTATCAATACTAATCAGTACTTACTCTATTTGCTTAGACTACACCCAAAACCAATAGTGTTCTAAATCTATTTTTTTATATTACTGTCTTT